TCAGATGTGCATTTTTGGATTGGGTCTTTAAATTTGGGTCATCTGATTTTTTTGAGTTCTTTATATATTTTAGATATTAGTCCTTTGTCTGAGGAACAGCTGTCAAAAATTTTCCCCACACTGTGGGTTGTCTCTTCACTCTGTTAGTATGATTTCTTTCTTTTTTCTTTTTTTTTTTTGGTACCGGAAATCGAACTCAGGTCCCTGCTTGCGCAGCAGGCGGTGAAACCACTGAGCTAAATCCCCGGTCCCTTGGTATGATTTCTTTTGCTGTGCAAAAGTGTTTAAATAAGATAAGATCCCAGTTGTTGATTCTTTGTGATATTTCCTGTGTGGTCAAGGTTTTGTTCATACAGCCTTTGCCTACACCTATGACTTCAAGAGTTCTAGCTATTTTACCTTCCAGCAGATTTAGTGTTTCTGTCTTAATATTTAGATCTTTGATCCATTTCAATTTTAGTTTAGTGTGTGGTGAATAATATGAGCCTAGTTTTAAACTTCGGCACGTGGAAAGCCAGCACCATTTATTAAAGAGGCTGTTTTTCTTCCAGGTTTTGGCTCCTTTCTCAAAGAGAAGGTGGCTGAGTGTGTCTGGAGTTATTTCTGCATCTTCTAATCTGTTCCACTGATCCTCAGGTCTGGTTTTTTGCCAGTACCATGATTTTTTTTACCACAGTAGCTTTGTGGTATAATTTCAAATCAGGGATTGAGATGCCTCCGGCCTTGCCTTAGTTGCCTAGAATTGCTTTTGTGCTTCTAGGTCTCTTCCGGTTCCAAACAAATTTTAGGATTGTTTTCTCCAATTCTGTGAGACATGCTATTAGTATTTTGATTGAAATTACATTAAATCTGGATAACAGTATTTGGAAATATGGCCATTTTCACTATACTGGTTCTTCCTATCCAAGAACAAGGGATATCTTTGCATTTTCTGATATCCTCTTGCAGAGTACTATAATTTTCCATATAAAGGTGTTTTACTTCCTTCTAACATAACCTGACCATTGTTTAGGATGACATGTACCCATTTCCCCAAGTTATTTGATTTCTGAAGCTTTCTATCAATAGCCACAACATAAATCTGAAATCCCCCTGGCAAAAGTTCTTTATAAGCTATATTTTGCCAATAAATAGACTCCTTAAGAGGAAGGATGGAGGGAGTAGGGAAGAAGGGAATGAAAAAAGAATTAAGATGTGTTTGTATATGTACCAACACCTCGCAATGAATGTAATCATATGTACTTCAAACATATACTAATAAAAACAATCAAACAAAAAAAGACTATGCCTATACATTTTTGTCTATTGACTGTATCTCTTCCTACCTGAACACAACTGCAATGTTCTCTTTCAACCCTAAGGAAGAACCCTTCACGCAGAGGAAGGTGGAGAAGAAAGTTAGCCCTCGAATCAATGATTTCCCCAATCTGGGGCACTGGCTTGCACATCTCACCTCTGGATTTCCTTTTTAAGAGAAAAACAAATGTCATATATTTTAAAGCACAATAGTTAGGTTTCTGGCACATCCTGCAGAATGCAATTCTAAGTGAAGAAAAACTCGAGAGTGACGAAATTGTGTGGTAGTTTGCTTATGATTTGCCAACCCCCCACCACCAAATTTATGTGCTGGAAGAATGGCCCCCACTCTGGGGATACGGAGGTGGTGGAATCTTTGAGAAGGGAGATCTGGTGGAAGGTAATTAGGTTATGGTTCTCCATCCTTGTGAATGGTTCAACGTTGATCTCCTGGAGTGAATTCTGTACCCCAGGTCCAAATCATTACGGTGACAGTGGGTGGTTATAAGAGAATGAGCCTAGTGTCCCCTAGTTCCTTGTTCTAGCCTTGTCAAGTGATCACTCCTTCTCACACGCGTTCCCCATGGTGCTACCACCATGCCGTGATATAGTCCAAGTCCCTCATCAGAGGCCGAGTGGATGGGGTCACCTGGTTTTGGATTTCCAGCTTCCAAACCTCTGAGCTCTATATGAAGTATAGCAGCACAAAATGGACTAAGACACATTGGATAAGTGAAAGCAGTTTTCTTTCTGTGTATTTAACTGTTGGACCTAGGACAAGATCAGACTATAATATTGTAACCTAGAGGAAAGAGTATGAATTTAAACTTCTTGGTGAGATATAGGATTGCTTACTTTTATGTAATCAGTACAATAAATAACTAAATAGTAGCGAAGCCCTTTGGCAACAAGCAGCTAAAAATCCACTGTATCTATAAATTCCTTAAATTCTAGAATGTTTCTAAGTGAGAATCTTGCCCAGGTAAGATTTGTAGCCCAGAGAAGATAAAGCAGGAACAGGGTGCTAAGCTATTCCTACTCAATGAGCTTACCTACCCAGGCAGAAACCTGTCATGTGTGCTCAGAAGCCAAAAATATAAATCTACAAGCGAAGCAGAGTGCTTAGATCTCTTCTGAAGTTCTACTCTCCAAAGAGGAGCCCCACGCAGACTGATGACCACTGGCAGCCTGAGCTTTGCAGACCCCAAAGATACTTGCTGGCAGGCTACAGGAGTACCTAAGGAAGTTGCAGATGATAAAATATGAATTGACAAAGAAAATGTCGTGTGTATGCACAATGGAATTTTATTTAGCCATAAAGAAGAATTAATTTGAGAATTACAAATTTTGTTTTTCTTTTCTTTTTTATTAGTCTATGTTAGCAATACACAATAATCACATTCATCTTGAGGAATTGATACAATCCCCCATTACCCTAATTAATAAAGGTAGACTTTCTGGAGCAGGAGCAGGGGATCAGGGGACGGGAGAAGGGTAGAAAGGGGAAAAGAGAGGTTAGAAAATGATCTATCTGTATACATGTAATAGATGTACGTACATTATAGGTACAATGTGAGTTGGCTGTTGGGGCTAATCGCCTAGCAACATTACCTTCCACCCCTCCACATCATCTTCAGTCTGCTTCTTTCTTTCTTGTGACATCTACACTTTTCCTTTTTTTAGATTTAAAATTTTTAATGTTTGTTTGTTTATTTATTTATTTATTGAAACTGTTCTCAAGATGCTGTCCAGGTTGGCCTCTAACTCCCGGGCTCAAGAGATCCTCACGCCTCAGCCTCCCTAGTGCTGAGACTCCAGGCACACACTGCACAACACTGTGCCTGACTCTTCTTTCGATGTTAGTTCAATGCCAGGTGTGAATCAGATTTCACTCAGATGCAGGGCATTATGAGTAGTGTGTAGCATACAAGGATAGAGGAGCAGATTGATTTACTAGTATCATTCAGAAAGTACACTCTCTTCGAAAAGTTGATGGCCTACCTTTAGCTATAAACAAAAGTTGAGGTTTTCCTTGGGAGATTTTTTTTTTTTTTTGGTACTGGGGTCGAACTCAGGACCTTGTGCTTGCAAGGCAGGCAGTGGGACCACTGAGCTAAATTCCCAGGCTCCAATCCTTGGGAAATTTTTTTTAAAAAGGAAATACCTAAAATTCTACTTTCTTTTTCTTTTTCTTTTTTTTTGGTACTGGGGATCAAACTCAGGTCCTTGCACTTGTGCAGCAGGCAGCGAAACCACTGAGCTAAATCCCCAGCCCTAAAATTCTACTTTCTTAATGAAGGTCCCATTCTACACTATACCCTTTTGATATCATGTTCATAGTAAATGTCCGGGTGGTGTTTTTGGTTGCGAAAAGGCCCAGCAATTTTTTTGCAGTTAGACTTTAAAATAGGGTTGAGCAGCTGGGCCTGTAGCTCAGAGGTCAGACACTTGCTTTTTTTTAGCATGTGCAAGGCCCTGGGTTCCACCCCCAGCATTGTAAAAACAAGATGGAACAAATAAATAAGTATTGAATATAGTTTTATTTTGAAAAATATTTAACAACAAGGAGGTAGAGGACAGATGTCAGGCAAAAGCAGACCCTGCAGTGGGTAGCTAAACTCATTGAGAAGGCATAGCTTAGCCAACTTCAATCCTTTATTAAGTGCCTGGAATATAATAAGCACTAAATTATTACTTGTAAAACATTAGCCATATTTAAGTACTGACTCTCTTGTTAAATTGCCATTATTTAAATCATTTCTTAAAATTGTGCTTCATCCTAGAAAATTATATTCATTCATTTCAATAACTGATGAGCTGGTTATATTTTCAACTTCACTTTTTTGACAACTGTAATTGTTATGTATAATCTTTAAGTAACAAATATTTATCAGGTAGGGCCCCGAACCACTTTGCATATCACTTGAGCAATCTGTACAGATATGTGCACCATACTTTGTGAACCAATGCACCAAGGAAATGTTGGACATTGCTATTAATATTTCTCCTTGGAGACTGAGTATTCAAAGGCACCTTCTAATAATGCAGATGATAAATTCTCAAGACTATACTCAGATAAATCACTGGGAGACTTGGCTCCTGATATTCTGAAAAATCTTTAGGAAAAATTTATTTGACTGTTCTTTAAAGATTATTGCTGCAAGACAGCCTCTTTCTTCTGGGATGTTGACCATATTTCTAAAATTTTAATTAAATCACCTGTCCTGTTGGGGACAGAAGTGGAAAACCACATTCTGCTTCTGCCTGACATTTCGTTAGGGTTGGGAGCTCAGAGGGGGAGACAGGATTCAATACAAAAGAGTTCATGAATTTTCTTACTACTTCTCACAAGTCTGGGGGGGTCATGTGCTGTAGACAGAGAGCAGTGGATTGGAAAATGAGTGTACTCACTAGGTAGGGTAATCACTGGCTGGCCTCTCAACTTCAGTTTGGTCAAACCGGTTGGAGCAGGAGTCTGTCTCCAACGGTGGGGAAGATCAGGTTTCAGAAATAAAGGCTATTCTGCCCCATCCTCCCTCCTGAGCTGATTAATGGCAATTATTCATAACAACAGATGATGGGTTGTTTTCTTTTAATTTGTTGATTTTTACACCATACTGGAGTGAGCTTTTCTACTGCAAATCTTGAAAACATGTGTTATGCTTTGGGATCATTATTCTTTTACTTTGTTTCAAAGAGAATTGTAGCATTCAAACACAAATCCAAATCAAAACTTAATCTCCTCAGGAGGAAAATGAATCAAAAGAAGAGTTACTTCTAATTACCGTCTGTCTCCTGATTGCAGGGTTATCTGAATTCATCTATGACTAGTAAATTCATAATTTATGAAGCCCTACTCTGACTGCCACTTGCCTTAATAGCCCTCATTTTAGAAAGATGATGTCTTCAAGCCAAAGGATGCTTAACACAATGTTTAGTGATGCTGATGAGCCTTGATCAATTATTCCTAAAGTAAGCACTTGTGAAAAAAGAAGTGATTTCCTAATTCATCTCTGCTTCTCCTCCAGGCCAACTCACCCCACTTCCTTTCTCCCCAACAGAGGAACAGTGTAAGGCTGGAAGGTACAGGAACCAACCCACCTGCTGACTCTGATTTCACTGAAGAAACCAGATAAGTCAGTATATTTTCAAACTTTCAAATGGCAGTGGTGAGGGTCTTCTGTTGCCTCACATTTTAGTGCTCCGTGATTAGAACCTCCTTCTTTGTAGCAGGTGTCTGACCCTCCAGTTTCTCAGGGGAGTCTTGAGAAAGGTCTCATCAGGAAGAGGACTCTTGCTTCATTTTAGAGCAAATGACAGTAATGGTTTCCATAAAGAAGTAGCTGGCCATCAGAAAAATCACATGGATGTCCATAATCAAAATGCACCTTCAAGCAGACTCCCGAGCAAAGTGAATTCACCTCAACTATTGTCTAATAAAAGACATACAGCCTCAGAAATTCAGACTTAAAGTCCTCTCGGTATGAGAGAAAAAAGCCACAGTCTACGTGAGGCAAAGCTTTGGTACTTCTGTGTTACCTGGCTTAGACTTGGCTTTACCAAAGAGCTTTTTGTCATGTTAGGCAAGTCACTTAACTTTTCTCAGTGTCAGTTTTCTAAGAAGAAAATGAGTTGACCAAAGCACTTTCTGATGCTCCTTTTAGCTTTAAGCTTCTGTGGCTCAACTGTGTGCCTTTCCTTTCAGAACCCTACTGAGTCCTCCAAGGAGCTCAGTCACTCTCTAATGCAGTGTCCAGAAGCTGATGATACCCATGAGACAGAGTTTCCAATATCTAGTTTCTAGGCATGCCTTTTATTTTCTCCACCAGGCTTAGAATTCACTAATTGAGAATGTCATGCCTTCACTGCCTTCTGCTTGGTTTTACCCGTGAAAAATGGAAGGCAATTATTGGCATAGAAATAATTTAATAAGCTTTAGACCAAAAGGAGCTTTAGTTCAAATTCTAGCACAACCACTTACTGTTTAAGGGACTTTAAGCACTAATTCAGGGTATCTTCTTCTGTGAAGTGAAAATAAACATGTCATATCACAGAATTCTTGAAATGATCAAATACCTTCCACATCCCAAAGGCATTTAATGACTCACCTGTCAAAACTCATGTTTCTACTCCATCCTTTGAGATTTCTACAACCACAAAGATGTTCCATGGAACATGGATAGAACATGGAACATGGAACAAAGAGGCTCCTACTAACTACCATGGCCATAATGTGAGTATTTCATCCTCCCTAAGAGCATGATCCCTAAAGATTGAGTTTAGTATCCCATTGTCTGAACTCTCTTCCTTCCCTTCTCCCTCCATTACTCTAGTATCTCTAGAGATCTCCAACAACTCTTTGACCTCAACAGGACTTAATCCTTTTAGCCCAATATATTTCCACCATCAGGCACTTATTATATTTGCATTTCCTTCTTTCTCGGGTCAGATGCCAAGGTCTATTGCTCTAATCACCTCTTGTAAGCCTTCTCCCCAGTAGCTCATTCGTCTTTAAAATATACAATCTTGATTAAATCCAACAGTCTATCTTTTCAGTACCTTCACTTCAGCAGCTAGTTATTGCTGGACCATACCACACTAATCATGTCTCCTGGCTCTCGTTTTAATTTTGTGATCATAAATCTCAACTGTACATCCATTGCTACCAAGTAGCTCTATCAAGCTTCCCTGTTACATTAGTTTTCCCACTGTCTTTTACGGCCACTGCATACCTTCATTCACCTCAAATCTTTATATTCCTCCCCAGCTGCCTCCATCAGATTAAACCCTAGGAACCCTCAAGCAGTTACACATGCTGTCTTTCGGTATGTCCCATGCATACCATGAGGAAGCCAGACTACTGTCTTGTGTGCTTCCTTTCCTCCTGCCTGCTCCCAGGCTTTGAGCCATTGCCCTCTCTACCTTTATAGGACCTGCTTTGTGGCAAACATCATGTTGGCTCTGGGATACAAAGACCCAAAAGACACCATTCCTCCCAGATGACCAGCTGGAAGGCCACAGGGGATATCTCTCCCAGGGGACCGTGCAAACTTCTATGCAGACACAAGTAGTTCAGGAATTCCTTGGATTGGGAAGTGGAAGGTCAGGAAATAATTCCAGCATTCGGTGGAAATTTACCAACAACTCTGTAAATCTTACTGGGGCTAACTGAATTTCTTGTCATTAACAGTAATCCTATTTCTCCTCATATAGGAATCCCAAGCCCTTCTTTATTTTTTCATAAACTAAAATGCTTTTGTTTATGTAAGGTCAGTTATTTAATTTGGAGGGGACTCATAAACAAATCTATGGTTTGTTATATGTGTTCCAAGTAGTTTTCACTTTTCCCTTGGTTTATTTATATTTTATTGTACAGAATCTTTTCAAATTTTGTGAAGTTAAATTTATCTACAACTTTATAATTTTTTGTCATCTCGGTTAATAAGATTTCTTTCTACTAAGCAAGCTCTTCTCTTCATTCATCTAACACTCACTCATGGAATGCCTACAATAATCTAAGAATCATAGTTGGCCCTGAGTGTATATATAATATAATCTCCTTCAGACAACTTGCAATTTCAGTTGGAAAAGAGAGACAATTACATTTGAACACATCCACTTAATAATTTTGGATTGTCCTCAAGGCTTTGGAAGGAATACCCTGAGTGACACGACGGATGCCCCTTGGGGAGTGGACAAGATGTGATGCTGAGCACTGAAGCATGTAAAGGAGCCAGCAGCACTGTCACATGCAGGGGAAAGATAGAAGTTCACCTGACTGAGGATCAACTAAAAAGCTCAGGGCACTTCTGAAAAACTGTGTTTGGAGACTCAAAAGGAAACTTTCTATTTCACCACTTACTTTTTAGATCAGGAATAATGGCATGAAAGTGTATTTTATTATTCCTCTGCATTTACCAGAGGTGTATATTCAGGGTAATATGTTGGAGGTTTCTTTAAAATATATATAGATTGATTTGGTTTAAGGAACACTCTATAAAAATAAACTGCAATTTTCTGGATATTCTGTGAACTCAAAAGCAGGATTCTTCCGTTCTTTCAAAAAAATACACAGAAGTAAAGACAATAAGATACTGTGAAGAAAATATAGTTTTATAGGAAATAGTATTTTCCCTAAAGAGTCTAAAATCATTAGAGGAAGATAAGACAAGCACATAAATACTTACAGTGTAATAAGTATCATAAGAGAGTTAAAAATGGAGTATTGTTATATTTCTGAGGGTCAGCCCTGAATGCCAGGATGGCCTAGGGCAGACTTGGTGATACTCCCAATACTGGAGCTGGCCCCCTGAGCACTGTGCCGTAGAGGAAACTAAAGGGAGAACAGGCCTGGCATGGGATGGTATAAAGGCAAAAAAGGTTTCAGTATATTTGAGGTATGCTAACACTGTTTGGATGAAGAGTGAGGTCTTCTCAGGAGATTCAGAGAAGCATGGCTTAATGGTAGCTGATTAAGGACAAGAGTGTAGTTGGCAAGACTGTGGCTCCTTGTTGAAACAGTACCTGTGGAGAGGTGAACTTGACACTGGGGGCAAAAACTGTCTCCCACTGTAAAAATGGGCAACTACGAGTTCACTGTGTAATTTTGCTTGCTGAGAAAGATACATTTCAACTATAGCCACCGCAGTAATGCAAACTCCTTAGAGCAGGCCAGTCTCAGAAAGCCCTGCCAAACCTCCTGCTCCCCCTTCATTCCCCCTTTCCTTATGTAATTACGTTTAGATTGATGGCTGTTTACCCAGTGATTACAGTTACTGTTTCCCCCTCCCATAGAAACATAAAGGTATAAAAATGAGAGTAAATTTCCATTTGATGCTTTTGATTGGAATCCCTTGAAGCAGCCAGCAATAAAGCTGCTTTTTTGCTCCTACTCAGTGTGGTCGGTGGTCTGTCTGGAGACCCCCAAGTGGTCATGCTTCAACACAACACCACGGACCTGGCTGTGCTGGGCATTGTCCGTAGAAACTCAGAAACCCTCATGTTCTTTTTGTCACATCTGAGCACCTTTCTCCCAAAGCCATTTGTGTGATTTTATCTTCAAGGGTCCAGATCTGGTTCTCTTTTCCAGAGGACTGCTTCTGGGTCCATCTTACTTGCAAGATCACAGGGCCAGAAAGTCCTTGAAGTTCATGTCTCTCCTTGTTCCTCCCAGGTAGATTGTGAAAGCTCAGCTCCCTGGCCTCAGGGAAAGACAACTCTGGGCTACCTTCCCCATCAGCATTCCACTGTGGGATCGGGCTGAATGTATTCCACGGGACATGGCTGGAAACTAGTCCTTTCTCATTCAGCTTCTTCCTCTCTTTGTCTTATTCACCACATTTCCTAATCTGGCTCCTCAGAAGACACCTCTTCAATAAATCACACAGACATGAATTCTTCCCTCAGGTCCATTTCTGGGAAGCCTGGTTAAATATACTGGCCAAGGGCTACTTCAATTTCTCCATATAGGTACAGGAGTGCCACAAGGGTACTGAGGCCCATTACCCTCAGGGGACCAACTGAGACATGGCGTAATAAGACAACATATAAATTGCAAGGATTAGAAAGGGAGTGGACCTCACAGACAATTTGTCATTCTTTTTGGTTCTTTTTTGAAAGCTCTTGTTACATGTTTGGGATGTTTCCAGCTTCTTGCATCTTGCTTCATCCTAGTAACTCTCAGAAAATTGGCATTTCTAATTTCTCTTTCAGGTGGGATTCAGGAATGCAATGCATGTGACATCTATCCAACACCTCACAGAACCATCTGCCCAGCAGCGAACACCTTGGGAAAAGGCCTTCTTGTACAGATCCTTATTATTTTTGCTGAGCAGGTGGTAGCTGCAATTTTGGCTTTCCGAGGAGCAGCAGTTGTGAGGTTGTGTATGACAACAGTGGAGGTGGCTCTTTGTGGTGTTCAGTAGAAGAGTGGTGACAGCGGCCACAGTGATGGGAATGGTTTCTCCTCAGGCCAGTTCTGGGATCTGCTTTGGGGCTTTTTTCCTGGACACTCAGTATCACCATCCCTGGTTCTCCACCCCTGACAACATTTTTTCAACAAATTGCTGTTCTGAATACTGTATTTGGAACAATCCTCAACTGCTTGCATGTAGGAACTCTGCCTGAGACAGGAGAGGAGGAAAAATTGTGACCACGATTTACATCCTTCTCAAGTCATATGAAAACAAGTGACAGTCCTAGTTTGCTGCTGTGGCCATAACACAGCCCCCAGCGAACACACCACTGCCTTTCAGTGTTCATGTATTTTCCCTGTCCTCTTCCATGTTTAATCAGGGTTGGGGTGTGTGACCAAAAAAATACTGAGGAAATAACAGTGTGTGACTTCCCTGGGCTAGTTTATAAAGGCATCATACCTTCTATGTTGGCTTCCTGGACCTCTCCTTCTGGGGGAACACCAGCCACCATGTTGTGAGAACACCCAAGTAGTGCTGTGGAGATGCTAAACAGAGGAGGACCTGCTCGTCAGCACTGACTTGACTGTTGTATGAGTGAGCCATCTCAGAGGGATCTTCCTTTCTCCCTCACCTTTCAATACCACAGCTGCCCAACCAAGCTGCTATTGAATGCTTGACTCATAGACACTGTGAAAGAAAGGGAATATGGTTGTGTTGAACCACAAAGTTTTGTAATAATTTATTATGTAACAACAGATAAACTAAAATACAGTGTTTGCAGATGGTTAGTTTCTGTAGGGCAAGGGAAAGCTGAACCTGTTTACAATAAAGAGAAAGGGACAGAACCCATGTAGAGGACTGCTGTTCTAAGAGAGAGGAGAAATAAGTAGAGTTCAGAGAGGGAGGGAAGGCAAGCGGGGAGGGAGGGGAGAAGGGTGGAAGGGAGAGAGGGAGAAAGAAGGGGGGGAAGAAGGAAGGAAGGTGATCAAGCACACAGGGCAGCCTTGGCAGGGAGAAGGAAATTCCTTCTTTGAGACAGGAACAAGAAGGAAGAAATAAGTTAGCTAGGATCCAGGATGAGCACAAAAGAGAGACCCGATGGAAATCTTCATCTCAGCAAAGGAGGAGTGGAGCAAGACCGTCTGCAAAGACGGACAGGACTGCCAGCGAGTGGGTGCACACTCAGAGCTTACATTTCTTCATGTTTACATGTGTTTGTGTCAGGTGTCATGTTAAGGTCCTTCCACACATAATCCCATTTAGCAATTCTACCAGCTTCCTGAGACAGTGTCACTGTTCTTTTAATTTTGTAGGTGAAGAAGCAAACTACTTTCATAGATGGGAGTTAGGGAACCAAAGTTTTGAACCAGTTATGTCAGACACTGAGGGAAGTCCTCAACACTGCACACTCTTTCAGTGGTTTCCTTAAAAACAGCTGTTCCATGAAGTTTAAAAAGTGAGTCAATGTGAGATGAGTCAAATGGAGAAGATTTTTTTAGGAAAATATAGGATTCTCGACCTTCATAATTTCAACCTTAAAATAGCCACAAAGATAAACTTACTTTTTCCTAGCTGTTTAAATAGGCTATTTAATAGCTCCAAATAGCCAGATATGTCAAGAAACACAGAGTAGGCACTGCTCTGCATGGCAAAATATCATGAAACTTCAGATGTAACCACAAAGTTATGTACATTCCACTCTTCGGTGGGGGAGATGAAGCTATCCAGGAGGTTTGTAGAGTGGCATGAAAAGGGTACTCTATTAATATCTCATGTTCTGCATTAAAGTAGCAAAGATATGGGATTACCGGCCAGCCCTTGGGTTGGAAAGTTGATTTATTCTGTAAGAGGTCAAAGTCAGCAAAATAATCAAGGGGAAGCTTAGTTTCTAAAGACTGAGCTGGCCAGGCATTTTCAGGCTATGATAATTAAAATCATATGATACTGGAGAAAGAACTGACAACTTGGTGAACAGTCAGCTCATTTTCTTTAGGAAGTCCCCAGTCTCTGGTACTGCTGTTTCTGAGCAAACACCCTTTGAGGAGCCAGGAAGTTTGACTACACATGCACAGACCGCTGAGTGCCACTTTTCCTTACCTCTAATCGTCCCTCACCACTCCTCAGACCACCCTACTTCTTTGTTCCACAAATACTCATATTCCCTGTTCTTGAGCAGCAGATCTGAGACAGGCCCTCCCGTCTCTATGCTCAGCTGCCTTGGAAGTAGACTCTCTTTTGTGAACAATTGCTCATTTCAGCAATTGGTGCATTGAGCAGTGGGCAAAATGTGCCTGATTTGGAAAAGTACACAAATATGCTAATCATAGGGAATAGGTTTAAAAAATCTAAACCTATTCAAGAGGATGAGAATGTATAAACAAAAGATATTTTGTCATGTGAGAACACAAGACCATTAAAATCATATTTTAAATATTTTAGGGGCATGAAAATAATCATGATAAGTAAAAAAGTAAAAGATTAAAACTATATATATATTCTGCTTCTAATTACATAAAATAAAAAATATCAGTTGAAACAGAGAATACCATGCTTGCATATATAAAAAAATACACCAAAATATTAAGTATGTAATACCCAAAGACTACCTATATATGTTGTTATATCTCAGTTACTTTTCTTTTTTTTATTCATATATTTATTGGTACATTTTAGGTATACAATACGTTTACAATTATCATTGGGTGCTTGTACCTGTACATGATGTATCTTGGTTCTTGTTTTTTCCCCATTCCCTGTGCGCCCTTCCCCCCCTCCACCCTTCCCTATTTACATAGATTTTGTTTCCATTTTTTTTTCTTTTCGCATAATTTTTCCTTTCCCTTCTTCCCTTTCCCCTTCCCCTCCTGCCACCCCTACCCCTTTGGACCTTTTCTTATTTCAAATTATCAATTATTCATTTTAATCATTTTCATCCTTATTTACACTTTCAGTTTCTCACACGAGAGAAACTATTCGGTGTTTACTCATGTGTGTCCTATTTATTTCACTTAAGAGTATGACCTCAATGTGCATCCATTTAGCTATAAATGTCTCTAGTTTCTCATTCTTTATGGCTGAGTAGTACTCCATTTTATAAAAAAAAACA